ATACTATTATCACCTAATGGATTTTTCTATTCCAAAATCCTTCAAACTTGAGGTTTTATAATTCTTGGAGTTCATAAATTTTTTGAAAAAGATAAATATATATTGACTAGAAGTAAGCAAATCTCATATTGTAACCAAACATGAACTTGAATCATAATCTAACAAATATGAGATTTTTGGATAAAATCTCAACCCAAATACTATCCCTGTAGTGTTATCCATGGTTGTCACGCGGTCGGCATGCCACCGGTTGAACCTGGTTCAATCGGTGCCGGTGATGAAATCGACATGATTGATCTACGAATTTCTAAGAAAATGGAGTCGTTTTAGTGAATTTAAATATGAGTGCATGTAAGTTTATTTGAAATATCACATTTCTCTTCATATATGGTTTATAAATGATTAAATTTATTTGACATTAATGGTTTTGTCATTTCTACATAAAATATTAACCGGCATGAACAAATCAGTTATACCAATGGCGAACCATTTCATTTGCTAAACGGGCGCAACGGTATAATCAATTTCACATTTGCCATCCCAATTGGGTCGTGGCAGCCTATATGATTCGCACACAATCCCAAATTCCCAATCAGTGGCGGAAAAACTGAAAATGGAGGAAGGAGCCCACAACCTTTGTCCACGGTAGGCCCATGGGCCCATTATCACAATAGTATGCTATTCGGCCTTTGTTAATCTTTGTTGACATCTTCACGTGACGTGCGCCACGCCACGCCACATGTTTGATTCTTTGTGGCTCCGGATACTATAACAACACCTCTTTTGTTGTTATAGTAACAACAAGGGTAAAAGGGTCCATTAACACAATATCTAACAAATAAAAAAAATTAATATTCAGCTGCAGCCGTCTCTTGATCTCCTCCTCGCGTGTATCTTTCTTCCTCGTCGGCTCCTTCTCCTCCAATACTCTCCCCGGCGCCGACGCCGCCCAATCTGAACCTTCTAACCTCTCCACGTCGTCTCGCAAGAATAGCAAGCGCTTCGCCTGTGGGTCGCGACGGCGACCTTGCTGACGTGGAAGGCCTGGCACTACACAAACCTCACGACCGACGACGGTGTTATTTCCCCACTGTTCGTATCTTTCTCCTCTCTGCACCGATCAGAAACCTCTTCTCAATGCCGGTATTCGTTTTCGCCGCCACCAAAAATGCAGTTACCGACTCCGACGCCGAAGGCCCCAATCCTCCTCTTTCAATCGTAGCCAAATCTTGCCTCGTTCTTTATTCTGCACTTTGGCCCACTACGGTACTCGAGAACATCAAGGATCTGGATTCTACCCAGCCCATATTCTCATCTTCGTCGGCACAGGAGGGATCAGAACATATTGTGAGCTTGAGTGTGGATATTGATGGCTCTGCCCTCTTTTGCTTTTGCTTTTCAGCTTGAGATTGATATGTATACCAACCGATCTGAACCCTACGTGCAAAAGATGACGCTAATTTCAGCAGTAGATGGAGAATTTTGATGTTGGAGAGGTCCCGTTGAAGCTGCGGGAGAGACCGCAACGAAGTGAGGGAGGAAGCAGTGGAGTAATAGCTAAAGTGAATTAGGATTCAAGCTTCTGAACTTGGAAGCAGAGGTTGGATTGCCCCTTTGTACAGACGTGTCAATTGAATCAGATATGACATGAGCATGGTCTGATTTTGTAGTCGACTTGCATGTGGTATTTTTTGGGTGATCTTTAGTTGGTTATGAGTTTGGTTGTGTGGTCATCTCCAAGAACAAAGTTGAGATGTCTGTTTATGTTGCAAAAAAGATAATTCCAAGTTGTAAAGTTCGTGAGATGGCTGGGTGGAGTCTTGTGATTGGATTGTGATGTAAGTTTTCAATTATGAGTCGTTCAATATGGAAGAGCTTTGTTACAATTATTGGTTTGTGATTCTAAATGGGGTTGTAGATTTGTAACAGTTTTGCATTCTTTTGTTAGTTATCATTTCATAAGCACACTAGAAACTTCCCAATACATACCATAAATCACATAAAACAAATCAGAAAAGTTAGAAAGCAAACCACAAATATTTTATAAGCACATCAGAAATCTCCTAATACAAACCACAAATGCGATTAAACAAACCACAAAAAGCATACCGGAAACCTCCTAAACGAGACCGCAGATGCTCTAAAACATACCAGAAACCTCACAAAGCAAACCACTTTCAAAAACACACTAGAAACCTCATAATGCAAACCACAAACACAATAAAGCAAACCATAAAAACAAACCAGAAACGTCCTAATGCAGACCAAAAATATATTAAAACAAACCAGAAACCTCACAAAGCAAACCACAGAATTTTTAAAAATACACCAGAAACCTCCTAATGCAAACCACAAACACAGTAAATCAAACCACAAAAACAAACCAGAAACCTCCTAATGCATACCACAAATCTCCTAAAACAAACCACAAACCCCTCAATGCAAAAAACAAAATTTTTGAAAGCAATCCAGAAACCTCGCAATGCAAACCACAAACACGATAAAGCTAACTAGAAACTTCTTAATGCAAACCACAAACACGATAAAGCAAACCACAAAAGGCATACGAAAATATGAGAAACCAAACCATAAATCTCACAATGCAGACCATAACGTCTGGTGGTCGTTGACCGTTGATCGGTCAATGAAAACCATTGACCAAACTCCGATGACGGTCAGTGAACTGATTCCGGCGCCGATAGGCATATTCCGTCCCCGATGACTAGATTCCGACGCCGATAAGCATTTTCCGACCACAGTGAGCATATTCCGGCGACGAAAAGCATATTCCGGTGACCGGCGGCCAGATTCCGGCGACCGAATTTCGGCGACCAAAATTTTTGGACAGAAAATATTTTTTTTATATTACGAACATAGCCCTATAATCTAAATTATGAGATGAAAATTCCATTTTTAATTCGCTTTTTTAGAGAGAATACGAAGTGAGGTGAAAAATATTTTTCATAATGACAATTATACTCCTGTTTTGATTTTACACTAGGTCAACTCATCTAATAAAAAGGCATCACAACTCTAGCTTCCTATTAGTTGGAGACTAGTGTTGTTACAATAACAACACAAAGGGTGTTGTCACACTATCTAGTGGGTGCGGATAGTATAACAACACCTTAAGTGTTGTTATAATAACAATAGGATTCATTAAAGGTAATAGGGTAATTTAACATAAAAAATAAAATAAAAATAAAATCTATTTAATCCTTCCCTTCCCCGATTAGGGATTCTCCTCCGCCTCCAGCCCGCTCAACATCGATCCGGCTTTGGATCTGCCGATTTGATTGTTCTTCCCCTTCCCCGTGGGTGGCAGATCTAGGGTTGAGCTGGAATCGCTCTTGGTCCAGCAGCGCGGCGGAGTCAGCGTAGTGGAAATCGGGCGGTGGAGCAGCTAGGAAAGAGGCTCGATCCATGGGGTTTTTTTATTATCGAATTCCGATTGTTTTTTGCAACAGGAGGCAAGCTATGTGCTGAAGCTGGAGCTGCAGGAGCAGGAGAAGCTGTTGGTTGTGGCTGTGGTGGTGGTGCTATGGCTTGTGGATATGGTGATTGCATCATCATGAAAGGAGCAGCAGGTGGCAAAACCTATTTTTTCCTTATGATAAGTTCAAAGTCCATTTGCTTCAGTTTCAGCTCTGCAATATCTCTCTTATCCACAAGTCTGCACATTGTACCTCACATTAACTTACACAATTGCTTGCAGTGCAATGGGAACTTGTAATTAAACAGACAGGCAAGTTGACAGGGATTTACTTGACAAGGTCTGCTACTTGAGCCATGCACTCTGACACCGTCATCATCATGACCAACAGCGGCAGCTAAACTTGGAGCTCCGATTAGGCATTTGATTAGTTCCATGTCTTGGTATATAATTACAATCGTCGTTATAATTATCACATGCATTCACATGTACTGCTAGACATGATCTCACATGTAACTATGTTAATGTTTCTTCTTCAGAGTTAATTGACAGATCACCCAGCATTGACAGAGTAAGTAAGCAATTAAAAAAAAATGGTTGTTTGTAGCCGCCGAAAATCTCCTAGTGCAAACCACAAACGCAATAAAACAATCCACAAAAAATATACCGGAAATCTCCTAATGCAAACCACAAATTTGTTAAAACATATCAGAAACCTCACAAAGCAAACCATAAATATTTTGAAAAACACACCAGAAACCCCCTAATGCAAACCACAAACACGGTAAAGCAAACCAAAAACGTCCTAATGCAGATCACAAATATATTAAAACAAACCAGAAACCTTGCAAAGCAAACCAAAAAGTTTCGGAAGCACACAAGAAACTTCTTAATGCAAACCAGAAACCTCCGAATGCATACCACAAATCTCATAAAACAAACCAGAAACCTCGCAAAGCAAACCACAAAAGTTTCGAAAGCACACCAGAAACCTCTTAATGCAAACTAAAAACCTTCTAATTCAGACCACAAATCCTCTAAAACAAACCCGAAACCCCGCAATGCAAACCACAACATTTGCGAAAGCACACCAGAAACCTCATAATGCAAACTACAAACACAGTAAATCAAACCACAAAAAGCAAACCATAAACGTCCTAATGCAAACCACAAATATATTAAAACAAAGGGTTAATACCCTAGTATGGCCCGAAGTTTGGCGTAAGTGACAGTTCTGGCCTCATTTTTCAAATAAGACATTTATGGCCTACTTTTGAAACTATTGGACAAATTTGGCCCAAAATTTTCTTTGACCGTTAATATTAACGGTCAAACACGATTCCATTAGTGACTCAGAAAAAAACTGATGATGTGGCATGCCACATCAACATAATATTATTTTAATTTTATAATTCAATTAAAATAAAAATTAAAAAATTAAGAAGAAAAAATTAAAACAACCTCTTCGTGTTAACAAGAGGGAGTCACCTCCTCCTCCAACAACCAACATTCTGCAGCCTCTCCCTTCCTTCCCAAAACTTGCTTCATCTCCCTTCCTTCCCAAAACCCCAACCACTACAATTTCTTCTTCTTCTTCCATTATGTTCTAACTTCCCCATCCACCGATTCCTCTTTCCTTCAAGAGAAGCCATCCAAAAATTAAAGAAATTCCAAATGAAACCCTAAACACATGGGCGCTGCTCAGGGGAAAAGAGAAAAATTCATGAAGATGCGCCACCTGTGGAGCCCAAGTTTCACCACTTTCTCTTCCGACTCCACCCACTGCGCTTGATCGACGATGCCAGGAGATCCTCCGCCGGAATCGAGACGGCGGCGCCGCCACTGCGGGACTTTGTGAAACTCGGAGCTCTGCTGCTCAGAGCGAGGCCGGTCGTCTCCACAACGCGAAACTGACATTCCTGCCAGTTGAGAGCCTCCAGATCTTGCTTGACTTGGTCGTTCGGCGGTAAGAAATTACCGCCCCGCTACTGGAAGAACTCGCCTTTTTTTGCAATCAATCTTCGCCGAACAAAGGGCAGAAGAAGGTGAAATTGGTTAATGGGTTCCCTCCCATTAGGCGAAAAATTGATGGGCAGCATCACAGATCGATGGGTCCTCATCATTGGTGTTTGAGTCGGAGGTACGGCGACAAGGGCGACCGAAATCGCCTCTCCGGACGTACAGAGGTGGGTTCTCAATTCCGGTGGCGATGGCGGAAGGAGTGACGAGGAGAAGAAAGAGAGGGATGAAGGGATAGAAAAATGAATGGTGGGAGTGTGGCGGCGGTTCTCAGAGAAGGAGGAGCGCCTCCCTCCTGTTGACGATGATATAGATTTAGTTTAGGGTTTTTTCTTAATTTCGTAATTTGTATTTTAATTGAATTATAATTAAAATAATATTATTTAATGATGTGGCATGCCACATTGGCAGTTTTTGTTGAGTCATTAACGGAATTGTGTTTGACCGTTAGTACTAACGGTCAAAGAAATTTTTGGGCCAAATTTGTCCAATAGTTTCAAAAGTAGGCCATAAATGTCTTATTTGAAAAATGGGGCCAGAACTGTCACTTAAGCCAAACTTCAGGCCAAACTAGGGTATTAACCCTAAAACAAACCAGAAACCTCACAATGCAAACCACAAAGTTTTTGAAAGCAAACCAGAAACTTCTCAATGCAAACCACAAACACAATAAAGCAAACCATAAAAGGCATAAAAAAATATGAGAAACCAAACCATAAATCTCACAATGCTAACCATAACATCCGGTGATCGTTGATCGTTGACCGGTCAACGAACTTTGTTGACCGAACTCCGGTGACCGTCAGTAAGGCATATTCCGGCCCCGATGACTAGATTCCGACGCCGGTAAGCATATTCCGACGCCGGTAAGCATATTCCGGCGAAAAAAGCATATTCCGGTGACCGATGACCATTTCCCGACGACCGGTGACAGAATTCCGGCGACCAAATTTTTGGGCAGAAAATAAAAAAATATTTATTTTTTATTTAAATAGTTTTTTCATAATGACAATTATACTCCTGCTTTGATTTTACACTAGGTCAACTCATCTAATAAAAAGTAATCATAATCCTAGCTTCCTATTAGTTGGGGACTAGTCTACACATAATATAATACACCGAAGGGAAAAACGGGAGCCCCATTTCAAATTTCCTGCAACGAGAGTGAAAGTAGGAAGGACATTTTGGTCTTCACAATTACTTTTTTTTATTCATTAAAAAGACACGTACTGGGATTCGAACCATGTCCATTTTAAAGAAAAGCAAGGAACATAACCAATCACACTAAGTACATTTGTTGCATCCTTTTAAATCAAAAACATATAATAGCAGGGAGGAAAAACCCCTTCCCCCATTTCAAATTCCCTGCTCCATGAGCGTTTGTAGGAAGGGTAGAATAGGTAGTGTTAATTTTTTTCTCTTTCCTCTGTGGAACGGGCCAACTTACCGTACACATGCGGATTTAAACGGGTTCAGGAGTGTCAATTTTTTTCTTTAACCCCTTGTATTTCTCCGTGGTGATAAAATATATATGAAAAGGCAAAAACAATACTTCTTTTTATGCTAAAAATAAAAAAAAATTTAACAATAAACTAATGCATGGTATCTAAAGGGCTAACCGCTAACCATAAAATAAAAGAGTTGAATGGGCCTGACCTACACCGGATTTGGCCATCAAGTAAAACAAATGAACATCATTGGTTTGACATTCTAAAACAAGCTATTTTCTCTAGCATAATATATATTATTATATTATTTTATACTTTAGTGGCTAAAATATAATGTAGTTTAAAGTTATTCAATGGTTCAATCTCGACCAACCCAATTAGTCCAATTTTTATCATTTCAAATATATATTATATAATTATTTGATATCATAATGATAAAATTATAGTGTATTTTATAGGGAATCGTTTGGTATTTGTTAGTAAAAAACTAAACAGAAAGATCTATTTGGTTATTTTAAACATTAAAACGATCCTAAACATTTTCAGTTTCTTTTGAATTTCTATGGTTTTATTCCCGAATAAGTGATGTGCAAATGGCGAATTGCAGTCATCTATTTTCTTTCACTATTTTTTATTTTCAAATAGAAAGTTTAAAAGTAACGAATAATTAGAATTTTGCATGGGTCGGTCAAACAGGCTGAATTTTAAGTTTTGGCCCGTTTTGATCAAGTCTAATTTATAATCACATGGTTCCCTGATACCCGATAAAAATCTCAATCCAAACCAGTTTGGCAGGTGAGTCCGTGTTTACCACCATTCTCTAGGAATACGACAACGGCGGTTCCTATCCCAAATCGTGTTGTTCGTTCTTGATTTCCTTAGATTTTATCATGGCCTGACAAAAACCAGAAAGCACAATGACGACAAGATGAAAGTTTTATAAATCAAATTAATGGTGTTCTCTTTCTGATCTCATGTAATTATATAATGAAGTTGAAGTTTTTCGATGCTATTCAATTTCATTGGTATGTTTTTAATGGTCTAACTTCATGGTTGTACCAACTTTTGATGTACTGTTTATGTTCCAATATATTCACTTTGGTATGATTATTAAGGATATGCTAGGCGGTACTCACCATTAGACCAATTTAGCTTAATGGTTGAATCTACGGGTTATCCCAATAATTCAATATTCGGCTCAGCTCCTCCGACCAACGGGTCGGGTTACAAGCTAGTATTGTTACAATAGCAACACAAGAGGTGTTGTCATACTATCTAGTCCCATTCTTTGTCAACAAGGGATATCCGCTTGCCACATCATCATTCCCACCAGAAGAAGTTGGGCCCACCACGTAACTTTATCGTATTACAGCCGTTGGATACATCTACCAGCTTGAGATCCAAGTCTGGAGTAACGTGGGACGCAAACACATAGCAAACTTCCTCAATTATAAACCCTTTTTATTATTTATTTCTGGCCTCTTAATCGATGAATTACTCCTCGATTTTGGATAAAGGCATAAAATTTGGTGGGGTTTTTCCTATTATCGGCTGCCAAAAAAACCAACCGAGCCACCAGCTGTTAACAGAGTTCCGATCAGAGTAGTCAACCTCTTCTGCCTCTTCGCCTTCACCCTCGTCTTCTCCGCTCGCGTGCCTCGGCTTGGTTTCCACAAGGTCTGCGCTTTTACATACGCTATCTCATAGTTGGGAATCGGGATTCCTTTCAAAGTTTCTGAATTTGCTGTGTTTCTGTCGAACAATCGGCTGAACAGCTCACGAATAATTTCGCCTAAAATTTCTATTTCGGGTTCGTGCGGTTTTGACTTGAGATGCTTAAAATTGTTCGGCTTCGCTTCTTTCGGATGATCGAAGCAAGAGGAAGAAGAGCGTAATCTCTTGAATTGATTAGTGGGTCTACTTATTTGATTGTGATTTTAGGTGGGCAGTCAGTTAATTGAGATTCTGGCCAGTAATGGAATTGTCTGTAGGACATAGAAGTAGAAAACTTTACACGGTTTTGTTTCGCTGGATGAAGTTTTAGCTTGTCTATTTACTTTTGTGCTGATCAGGTGCAGGAAGGAATGGCTAAGAGTTGCTTCAAGCAAGAGCATGATCATGGTATGTGTTAAAGTTGAGGCTGTCGAAAGGTCTGTTTTTGTATGTTTCATATCAAGGTAGGTTTTGACAGTCAAATGCTGGTGTGTTTGTTTTTTCAGAGAAGAGAAAAGCCGAGGCTGCCAGGATTAGGGAGAAATACCCAGATAGAATTCCGGTGAGAATTCGGTGCTGATCATGATACTGAAACGTTAAATTTGTCTACACTTTACTGCTTTGCATTGATGGTTTATTAACTCTTTATGGGGGTAACTCGAGTCTGGGAATATCGCCAGCTAGATAGTTTGCGATTTAGCTTGTTATGTTGTGCTTTAGAACATGGCCTTGTGATTTTAGAAAGGATCAAAGACAAATCTGAACTGGTGCAGGCGTTGTATTAGTTTGGTTTCTGCTTATTCTGGGGTCACACAACTTCATTTCATCCTCAATGTATATATTTGTTTGCTCGATTAAATGAGATCATTATTGCTCTGGGATGCTTGAATCAGTTGAAAGTTGAAGCTTGCTATGAATTGCCTGAATCAATTATGAAATTGTCTTCTTTTGTTCTTGGTTGCTGACTTCCCCCACTGTTCTCCTTTTGTGTTAAAGGTCATTGTAGAGAAGGCAGAGAGAAGCGAAATACCGAACATAGATAAGAAAAAGTATGTATTCTGATGATTGTGTTTCATGTTCAAGTTTACACGAGATCTCCTTCCTGGTAGATTCATGCTTTCTCATTACTAGAAGGCCATGCAATCTCTGTAGCTTCTATTAGAATGCCGCTTTCTGTATATGAATTGACACTGTCTGTATTAGCAGGTACCTTGTCCCAGCTGACTTGACTGTTGGACAGTTTGTTTATGTTATCCGAAAGAGAATCAAATTGAGCGCTGAGAAGGCAATCTTTATATTCGTTGACAATGTCCTCCCACCAACCGGTAAGCACTTACCATTGTACAGTTTGCTATCAACATTATGCAGTTCTGATTCTTTTCTTCCTCCCATTGTCTTTTCCGTGTTTCTGTGGCCTTCATCCAATATAGGTGCCATCATGTCTTCAATATATGAAGAGAAGAAGGATGAAGACGGGTTTCTGTATGTCACTTACAGCGGCGAGAACACTTTTGGGACGAAGATTCAGCAGTAGAGCCGTCCCTAATTGCCGCGGAGCCTCCATAAGTTTCCCTGTTTATCTATCAAGCTCGTTGGTGGGAGACACTTGTGCATAGGGTATATTATATATCTTGTATAGAAACTTCCCAGAACTTGTCTATCTAGTTAATTATTCAAGTTGGAAAATGACTTGGCCTTCTGCCTGGCGTTGGCGTAACAATTTATCAATAATCAAGGTAGAGCTGAAGTGCATTCTGTGTTTGTTTCAGTTTTGCGCAAAACTGATAGAAACCTAAAATTAGGTTCTATCAGTTTCTAGGAATTTGGAGAAAGAGGCGAATCACGGAGGGAGTGATTAGCTCTTCCTTTGGGGAACATGGTAAGGGAGAAGGAGATAAGGAAATTGTGAGGTGAGGGAGGAAGAAGAAGCTGCCGAGGCAGCAGGGAAGGGAGGGGAATTGGGGTCGGCCGAGAGAGAGGGGAAGGGAGGGGATTAGAGAGTTGCATAGGGTTTAATTTTGCTTAGTGGTTAATTCCCAGTATAGGTGTCAATCGGTCGGGTTGGGTTCAATCGCGTTGCGGGTTAGTCGGGTTACGGGTTCATCGGGTTGCAGGTTAGTCGGGTTGCGGGTTCAATCGGGTTGTAGGTTTAATCAGGTTGTGGGTTAGTAAGGTTGCGGGTTGATCGGGTTCGGGTTACGGGCAAATCGGGTTTGGGTTCATCGGGTTTCGGACTGGGCGGGTTGCGGGATGTTCGGGTCAACGCATCGAGTTACTCGTTACCAACTTACACATTTTATTACACTAATTTAAAATATTTTTCACAGTTTTTAATCAATTTCTTTTTATCTTGTATATATACTTAACTAGCTTATTACCCGGCCCGTTGGCCGGATTACTGTATGTTACCCACTTGTGGAATGGGAGAGAAAGCAAGTGAGAGTGAAGGGATTGTGATTCCACTTGATTAGGACCGACCCACTAATCTGATTCTTCCCGACCCGCCCCAACCTAAAGGGTCAGAAAGAGTCAATAAGAAAATACGAACAGAGAGAATTAGTAATATATCTTGACTCTTCAGAAGTGGGTCAAACAGGATCAATGTTGGGTGATGGCAATTTTTAGCGCTAAGCAGAGTTCAGGGTTGAATAACTTTACTTAGTCCTAGAAATTGGTGCTGATGCAGACTGCAGTTTTTATCATACCATCATCAATCATCGTTGAATTAGTCCTAGGCATCCCTCCCCGTTGTCGGTCTGAATTTTAATGATGGCTTCATTCCTTGCACCAGCCATATCGGCGAGTTGTCATCTCGAGCATGATTTGTCTATGTACAAATGATATAATTAGAGTATGAAACTGATATCAAAGAAAAGGAAAAGAGAATTCTATCACATGCCAATAAATACACACATAATAGTTGAAGCTAAGTGAAAGTCATTACTCGCACATCAATTCTAAAAAATTATTGACTAAACAATGGCTAGAATGGCACTGAAACTACCAAAAATCATGGACGAAACAACTTGTCAAATTAAATAATCCTTATACTGAAACTACCTTCTAACTTGAAATAATACATGATCACAGTTCATAGCACTCTTATCACTATGAATTGGTTGCAGCTCGTTCTTATCACTACCTCTCAAGCTCAATTCAAACAGAATAGACACAGTTATGTAAGATAACCATATCCTTACTGATCATAATTTCTTTCTTCACTCCATTTTTGTCGGAGAAAAGAGTTATCCCCCTCCCATGCATTTCCCTTTCCCCCTCTCTTCTCCCTCTTCTTCACAAACCGATCCCTAAACCAGCAACAACAACACAAAAATAGCCTTCGCCTCTGCCATCTCCATCTATTGAACGCGTTGGTGGCAAGACAGGACTGCAGAAGCAAAATTTTCTAAAATCAAACTAAATTTTTTGAAGGATACTCAACCACGAAAAAAGAGTAAAGCAACAATGCTAATAGTTCAGATGGTTGGTTTTGATGTTATACGTTGCTTTTGTTCTGGTCTCCAGTGTATCAACTGCAACAGAGATGTTTCCTCCAATCATCTTTAGTGCACGATTTAGAAGTAAGTCCTCTTGTTTGTGTCAAACGGAAACATTCATGGGTTCTTAACTCCCCTGTTAGTGTAAATGCAGCAGCAGCAAAGAAGTTTGACAACACAGCAAGCACCCAGGCAAAATGATACAATGCAGTAGGTGATATGTGTCTCGAAGGTTTTGAGTTACTAAAGTTCATGTTAAAAATAAATATGAATTAAAATGGATTATTCTATTAAGCAAACATCCCCTCTAATCATACAAAGATCAGATATCCACCACCTTTGATTGCCTAAATTTGGTTTTTCGCAAAGTTATGGACTCTTAAGGGTAACGTTCATGGGTAGTCTGTTTCATAACTCTAGAGAGCATAGTAAGCAGCCACCAACCAGACACAGTGCGGTAGGCGAATATGATTCTCAATTCACAATTTCTCACCACCGGAAGTAAGAACAGACCATAATAAGCGTAGCGTTCATGGGTGGTCTGTTTCATAGCACTACTACACAATTTGTTAAAAAAGAATGAAAGGTATTTAACATCACGACGGAACAACTTTTACAGGCCAACAACGACAACATGCTGCAACCACCAGAACTGGTATCACAACTCATAGGGAAAATCAAAAGATTTACTCTCAAATTAAGTAGTTACAACATCGAGCAATCGTCAAGCACATACACCATCACAAAAGTCACAGAACCTGATTCACAAAGCATTCAAACATTTGAGGACATTTCTGCAAAGGTACAACTTATATGTCTTTTTTCCAAGCCATTTCCATCAACATGCTAATAAATTTGCAATGCATAAAACAAACAGGCCAAAACTTGAAATTCAACCTGTTTGACCGACCCATGCCTAATTCTAATTATTCTTTACTTTTAAACTTTCTATTTGAAAATAAAAAATAGTGAAAGAAAAGAGACGACTACAATTCGCCATTTGCACATCACTTATTTGGGAATAAAACCATATAAATTCAAAAGGAACTGAAAATGTTTAGGATCGTTTTAATGTTTAAAATAACCAAATAGATCTTTATGTTTAGTTTTTTACTAACAAATACCAAACGATTCCCTATAAATACACTATAATTTGATCATTATGATGTCAAATAATTATAAAATATATATTTGAAATGATAAAAATTGGACTAATTGGGTTGGTCGAGGTTGAACCATTGAATAACTTTAAAATACATTATATTTTAGCCACTAAGATATAAAATAATAGCATAATATATATTATGTCAGAGAAAATAGCTTGTTTTAGAATGGCAAACCAATGATGTTCATTTGTTTTACTTGATGACCAAATCCCATGTAGGTCAGGCTCATTCAACTCTTTTGTTTTATGGTTAGCGGTTAGCCCATTAGATACCATGCATTAGTTTATTGTTAAATTTTTTATTTTTAATAATAAAAAGGAGTATTATTTTTGCCTTTTCATATATATTTTATCACCACGGAGAAATAAAAGGGTATAAAGAAAAAAATTGACACTCCTGGACCCGTTTAAATCCGCATGTGTACGGTAAGGTGGCCCGTTCCATAGAGGAAAGAGAAAAAAATTGACACTCCCTATTCCACCATTCCTACAAACGCTCATGGAATAGGAAATTTGAAATAGGGGAAGAGTTTTTCCCACCCTACTATTATATGTTTTTAATTTAAAAAGATACAACAAATGTATTTAGTGTGATTGGTTATGATCTTTGCTTTTCTTTAAAATGGTCATGGTTCGAATCCCAGTATGTATCTTTTTAATGAATAAAAAAAAGTAATTGTGAAGACCAAAATGTCCTTCCTACTTTCACTCTCATTGCAGGAAATTTGAAATGGGGTTCCCGTTTTTCCCTTCGGTGTATTATATTATTTGTAGATTAAGAAAAACTAGTCAAAATCACCACAATCGAAATTTGAAATCTCGCCTTCCCACTACAACTAAAATTGGGCCGCCCAAAATTTCATCATCACCCGCCCACTACAATTACATCAAAAACACAAAACCCTTCCCTCTGCTTGCAAAAAATTGGGCGCCCAAAATTTCATCACACCCGCACAAAACCAAAATTTCATCACCCTCCCAAAATTACTTCTTACTTCTTACCCTGTCATCTTCTCCAATAATAAAGTTTATTATTATAGACAAAAGGTCTTAGTTATTATTTATTATAAATATTAGCATTGTGCTGTTTTTTTTTGTTTGTAATTTGGTTAAAGAAATTCATGTCATAATTTTTGTAATTAAAAACCATAATTTTAAGTGAATTTCAGATTTTGAACTTTTTTAACTAAATGTGAATGATTTTACTTAGGTTGAGAATGAAAAACTTTATTTGAAAACAATATATTTCTTTTAACCAATTTATTTCTACCTCATATATATATATACTTAATTTTTTGAAAAAAATGAGTCAAAATGTTAAATCAATTTGTATGACTTGCATACTTGTTATGTAATTAATCGTAATTGGTAAAGTACACTAGCTAATAGTAATGGTGATATCAATATTTACAACCAAAAGATACCATTAATTATTTTAGCATTATTTCAGTAGTGTAATTGGATTAAAGTATCTCATTTAGTATAACCATGCAAATGTGGTATTTGGCGTGTGGTATTAGGCAAAAACAGAGTGATAAAAGAAGTTATTTCAAAATAACTCATTGCCCAAATAACTTCAGTAAACTGTTGCCAAACGAGTTATTTGTAAAATTGTTCGAATTATCCTGAAAATTGAATCATTAAAGATTAACTATCAAATCTAGTAAAATTATTGGGACTTCAATCATAACTTACTCAATAACATATATCCTATACACTTAGGCTTACCCTCAATCGACAATATTAAGTTAGTATATGTTGTTGATTGTATACCCTAAACCATCAATATTATACACTAACCACGTACCCTATACCCTAACCATATGTCCTTATGAGTTGTGATTTTGCTAGTATAGTTGATTTAAAACTGAAATTCATACTTTGATTTTCAAAACATAGATAAAAAGTGATATTTGCTAATTGCTACACCCTAACCATATATCTTATACTCTACATCATATACCTTGTACCCTAACCACGTACCACAAACATAAATTAAAAAGGGATCTCCTGCCGTTAAAGACATCAAATGACTTCAAGTGAACATATGTTAATAAAAAACTTAGAACCGTCAAAACCATCAATATCTTATACCCTAAGCATATACTCCCTAAACCATCTGTACCTTATACCATTTATTCTAACCAATATACTTTATACCCTAACTCCTAATGGGTGAACCCCAGTCCGCAATTCACTAACCCAAAGCATAATATTCATTTAATCTTGAAATGAAAATCAACGGTTT